GACCGGCCGCCAGTAAAAAGGGAACTTTGGCAACCCACCGAAGTAGAAGGCCCCATCCTCCAACGGGTCGACGTCCACAAGCGCCACCCGGAAGAATTCCTGTTTAAAATTTTTATATGATTGGGAGTAAAGGGTAAACAGACCCTCATCCTTACTCCCACTTAGAGACAGTAAACTATAAGGAGGAACCCCTATTTTCAGCTGGTAAAAATGGAGAAAAACGGGAAGAGACACCTCTATCCCCAAGGCCGAGCAAAGGACTTGGAAAGCCCTCAAAAAACCCCAACTATTAGGGTGCAACTGGCAAGGAGCCGAGTTGATGAAATTCAAAAAATCACACTCAAATTGAGTGAAAGGAAGACAGACACCTAAATCCCTAAAAAAAAATTGGTATACATAGAAATGGGGAGGGTCAGAAGGACTCCCCACGTACACACGCTCGTCAGGCCAACAAGGCTCAAGCCGGACAAACTTGGAAATAGAAGTTTGAAAGATCCTATGCGTTCTTCGAATCGCATTGACCTCCAGAAACGATTTGAACACGCTCTGGAACTCTCCCACGTCGTGCCTGACCCAGTCATAGCCAGGAACGCCGGGGACGAGATCCTTAGGCAGGTTCTCCGCCTTCTTCTTTTCGGCGGCCTTGCCGCGCGCCTTGCCTTTACCCTTGGCAGGCGCAGAAGAACCGGCACCACCCTCTCCAACCATCAAGAAACAAAAGACTTGAAGAAGATTTGGGAAGAAGGAGAAAGAAAACTGTAGAAAGGAAGTATCTGGTACTCTTCCTCAGAAAACAACCCTAACAATGACTGGGTTGCCGGAAACGGCGACGGAAACTGAGAAAATGGAGACGGAGGACGAACAGAGACGAAGAAGAACAGCGTGCGCAAGAAGCCACAAGAAGGAAAAAAGGTAAAGTGGTAAAGGGAAGAGGCGCGAGTGAGAGAAAAAGGTTTTCCAAAATTCAAAACGGTCATGACACGTGTCGATCAAGGTGCACACTTGACGACACATTAATTGAAGACCATTATGACGAATGCAAACCGTCATTGCATAACCGTCATTCCCATTAACGCGCCACCTGCACGTTTTCGAGAAATGACAGTTGTGACACATGACATCTCGGCAGGCAGGCGTACGCGAAGGGTCACGGCCACTTGACGGGCTCGGTCTTAACTCCTCGACCTACAGTCTTCGGAGCTCGAGGGGCTAGTGTACTATCCGTACTGCCAAGCCGAGCTCAAGCTCGGCATGTCAGCGCAAAGCGACCTCGAACACGCGTTGAGTGACGTCAACTCGTCACTTAAACAGATCATAACTGATCTCGAGCCCAAGGCCCAACGCAACCCTAATTCATACCAAGGTACGTGCATTACTTATATGAGACTCATACTCATAGCCAACATAGGTCTCGGTACAACATCTTACACCCGAGCTCTCGGTCCGAGCACCGCCTCACCCTAGGCCTCGGTACAAATTCCAATTACCCGTGGTCTCGGTGCAGCTTCTTACGCTCGAGCTC